TTCCGAATCGTTGCATGATTCAAATAGTAATGTACCTGTTTTAAAAAACTGTATTGTGTGCTAAAACGACGCTGACGTTCAGCTAAATCAAGATCAGTGAATAATTTCAGAAGAAGGAAACCAACGATGTCAACCTTGGCTACGGTTTCCTAAATGTCCACGTCTTTAACAACGTTGATATATTTTTCCACAACGGATTAAAGGAGAAGAATTATATAACGCAAGCTTGGATCTAAAATGTTACTTTGGTCTCGGTTTAACTTAAAGAATGATGAATAATTGTTATATGATAAATTCATCAGTGAACAATGCGTGAAACAATGCTTTGCACGAAGCTAACGCAAGGTAACTGTGAACAAAATGTGTGCGCGAGTCTCGCGCACTCCAACGATGTAGTGAGCATCTTTCGTTACATTCAAGTTTTTTTTTTTTGTGATGAACGGACATGCGAAATTTTGGCATTTGTCTCGATTAGTCCTTCTGACACGTCCAATTAATGGACCGGATGCTGATTGCAAAAAGTTTTCAGATTGACGTTATATTTTAGGTTGACATGGATTTAAAACGCAGATCGATATTCAAAAAAAGCTTGAGACAATAGTTCCAACGAGTATGTACTCGATTCTGAAACATACAACTTAATGAATATATGTAAAAAATATTTTTAAAAACCACGTTTTTCTGGTTTTTACAAAACTAAAAATAATGAAATAAAACAAATAAAAAACTGTTAAAAAACCACGTTTTCTTAACGGACAAAAAAGAAAAACATTTACTCTTACATAACATTTAAGTTATGTAAAATGTTTTGAAATGTTATGTAACAGTAAATGTTTTTTCTATTTTGTCCGTTAAGAAAACGTGGTTATTTTAAGTTTCTTGATTTGTTTTATTAATTATTTTTAGTATTGTGGTTTTTGAAAACGTGGTTTTTGAAAATATTTCTTATATTTATTTATTTTCTACTTTTTAGTTAGCAATTTTAGCAATTGAAATCAATTTCCAGGGTTGGCAAGTGAGGATGTTCGAGAAAAACTCAATTCCAAAACCGTGAATTTTCATTTTTTTAATTTTTTTTTCTAAAAAAATTTAAATTATTATTTCTGATGATCAAATCTTGAATTGTTAGGCAGCATAAGCATGCATGCCAAATTTAAAGTTTCTAGGATGCTCTCGAGCTCTAAATTAAGGTCTGAATTTTTGATGACAGACAGACGCGAAACGAAGTCAAGAAAAACGTGGTAAAAATGAACAAAACCAATCACATCATGACGCAATATACCGGAGTAATTTGAAAAATATATTTCAGCAAATAATATCGCTCACATTGATGTTGGAGTCGAATTTCAATACGAATTTTAGTGCGATAGTATCCGTGCATAAGCATGTCAGTGTCAAAGCAGCTGAGTGTAGTTGCAGAGGATGTGCATCTAATGTGCGGTCTCGGGTCTGTGGTAGCACAGCTCAATCTTCGGTCTACTGTGAGTAGGAAATTTGACACTAGCAAAATTACACAGTTTCTGTGTTATTTTCGTTGCACAATTTTCTTAGTAACTCACCCAATATGCCACTATTACTTAATAAAGCGATCAAATGGCCTATCTCACCACCATCTGGAGCGATGTTTCATTTTTGCGACCCACAAGACGCATGAACAATATTCTAGCTAATTTGATCCAATGTTACTTGTGCAAATCGCTTACTACCTTTTTCTCTTCAAATTCAAATTTTTATCAGACTCAGCATTTTCGGAGCGGAATGTTTGCGCTTCAACTTGGCTTACTGAATGAATTGTAATCTTAAATTAAGCTGCTGAATAATTTATGACCAAAAAACCAAAAGCCTTCTAGGTGCTCACAGTCACAGTACAGCACGCGGGCATAAAATCACCACCTTTTCGGCTGTGAGATGAAAACGGCTGTATCTTTAATTTTATTGTAATAAATCGCTCTCTTTTGGTAAATGCTCGCAAATTTTATTGCGTAACTCAAGCGCAAGTTACACGCATTTAAAACATTTATTCTGAGACTGCTGCATATATTGCAGCTGAAATTTTGTGAGTAAAGTTAAAAAATAGAAGTGCCTCACGACCAGGTTTTTTAGCAGGTTTTTTTGGACAAATTCCGCAATTCAGTCTTTTACAATTGCATTTGTCCACAAAAATTTATGATGGCAGTACGACCTAATTAAATCTTAAAATGCACGGAAAAAAAAAAGAATTTTATTTTTGCACTGAAACCTACGAATTTACTAGCATATTCTGAATTATAGGCCTTTTTATCCGGTGACATGGCCGTTTTTAGGCCATCTGCAAGCGCTGGTGCGTCGAGCCGCATTTAACGCGTTAAAGGCAACATCGTCATAACTCATCAAATATTTATTTTTCTACGAGCCTTTCAAATATGCTTGTGAAGCTTTATTGTTAGGACGCAAACAACACAGGATTGCAATTGTGCTCCTACCGAAATATTGGGATTATACAGAACAAAAACTGATACGTGTATTCACTCTAATTCGGTATTCTCTTAATATCGAATGCAACGATGATGTAGCAATAATACATCTCGAATAACAAAAAAATCAGGTTTTAGGCATGTTCCACGTATAATAATTCACTAACGACAAATAAATACAGTGTTCATGTTTTTAAGTTTAATTCGTTTTACCTGGGGTCAAAACGGGATTTGGTTAGTGGGATGGATTGAGAGATAATAAAGGCTAGAAACGTGATGAGGATGTGGGTGTTTGAAGTCGTGGATAACATTTGGTGCACTTCAAGTCCATTGGGACAAGCCATTCTAGTTCGAGCGTGGGCGACTCATGCGTGAGGAGTGGAGGAGGGGAAACATAAGTTAACAAGGGAAGTGGCAGATCTTAACAACAGAGTAGAGACAACAAAAAATGATAATACCAAATCGTCCACATTAACACGCATTAACGGTTTGCTAACTGCTAAATCCGAGCAGGAAGACCGAAGTGAATAGGATCTTGCCCAGCACAGTGAGTGCAGAACCTCACATCGCCTGCCAAAGAGACATTTACAACTTCTAGTGTCGGGTCAGGCTGTGTGGTATTGTGTGCTGAGAAAAAGTTTGTTTATGAAGGCACCAGTTCCTTGTGTGGTAGGATCTGCATAGGAAGAATCGTACCTGTAACGCGATAACTGACATAGTGACTATTATGGGAGTGTGGTGAGGTTGCTGGTTATAGGTTTACGCTGTGGAATCTCATGCATGCTTTTTGTACGACAATTCCCCAGAAAATTTTCAGAGACGGTGTTCGTTTTGGAGGGTCGATTTCATTGTATATGTTAGATAAAATGAATTTATTATAGTGGCTGGAAGGAGAGCTGCCCGTGCAAGTAACCGTAGGTTAACCTGCGCTCCGAGTAAACTTATACGGTGGTAGGAACTTGGGGGTTCATGGCAGGGTGAGTTGACTCAGGAAAAGAGTTATAGCCAGAATGTCATTTGTCTCTGTTCTGATTTTTTTCTTGACTCATGCCTGGTAGAGATCAATTTTCAGTCTACGTTAACTTCCTTCACCTTACCATCAGCCATTATTATTCAGAAACAAGTTTCGCTTACTTTTCACTTGTTTTTATCGCATGTCATGATCTGTGTTTGATAATACGGGAAGAGCTGAAGAAATTTATTAGATTGGTGATGGTCGAAAAATTTGCCCATAAAGCCATAATTAAATGTGTCACATGCTTTTCACTTCTCGGTTCGTCACGCTATGTGCGTGAGGCAATTTGGATGTCAGAATGAATTGATACGGAGTCAGCATGGAATAAGCACGTGAATAAGTTGGAAGTTAGCATGGGGCCACATGGGGTCAGCACGAGAATAATCAAGTAGTCAACCTAAAGCATCCTTGACGACTCGAGTGTCAGTACGAAATGTGTGACGTGCGAGGATCCACTCGCGCCAAGTTTTGGAGATATTGTTATGGTGGAACTTCAGAGGTTTCGTGAGTTCTGACTTATTATTTCGTAAAAGTGGCACATGCAATGCACGCCGACCATACTTGAGTAAACAAAATCTAACTTTTCATCCGACAATGTTAAGCAAAGGTACTTGTGCGAGTTCTCAGAGCTGTCTATTGCCGTCACCGAATTGGTTCCTTCGCACCTCACTGTGTTCGAGTGAGCTGAGTTGACGTAAACTTTTCACCAGAAGACTGCTTTGTTTCTTACTTCGTTGTTGCGATTACATGGCTGAGATTGGTTGGCTTAGTACGACAAATACTAAATGAGTCATGAATGATTAACAAAATTGAATTCCAAAGGACAAATTCATGAACTGAAAAATAGGGATCCGCTAAAACGTTGAGTAATTCACTACGAACTTTGAAACTGGAGTGTAAAAAAGAAGCGAAATTGTCTTATTTACTTGCGTAAGAGTCTGCAACTAAAAGATAGACATAAGAAATTATAATAAAATTTTGGCAATATTTCAACGGAACAATATTGATAGCATGAATTCGAGAAAAGTGATAGAATACTATCATAGCAGTTTAATTTTTTTGCCTTCTAGAGGTAAATTAACTTTACGCATGACCATCCGGGTCTAGTCGGATTAAGCTATCGTTATTTTAGCGAGTTTTCATTTTTTGGATAGTTTTTTTTCGCAGATGGCGCGTGCATGCAAATCCGGTCTTGTTCCAAGCCCGAGAATATAACTGGTAAAAATGATGGAGAGTGTAACCCTTTGTCTACAGTTGCATGACTCGCTAACGACCTTATTTGCATATAAAGACCTTACATTGCATTACGAACTTACGTTCCCTGAGGAACTAATTTTTATTGCATAAGACCTTATATCGTTTATAAGAGTCTTTCATTGCATAAGGGCCATGCGCATTGCATAAGGGCCTTACAATGCTTGAGGGCCTTATAATGCATAAGGACCTTACATGGCATAAAGTGCACGTTGCATTACATAAGACCTTAAACATTGCACAAAATAATCTTACTGTCAAATACTAAACAAACTCACCGGAGTTGCCGCTGGGCGAGAGTTCTGATGTCGCTGCGATGGGCGTCATGGCTACGAGTGCGAGGAACCACACGAGGCCGATGATCTTGTAGGCGTGGGACAGCGTCTGCCACCCACGGGACTTGAGGGGCTGGCAGATGGCGTAGTAACGCTCCAGACTGATGGCCACCAACGTCCACACCGACACCGCTATAGACACCGCTGTGGCATGCGTTAGTTATATATGAGTTGTTATAGGAGTAAATGCGTTGTTTATACGTGTATAATATATAATAACTTGTTTAAGTTGTTATACATATGCTGTTATATATACGCTGTTATACGAGTAAATACGTTGTTTATAAATGTAATAATTTTTGCGTTGTTTATTTATCCGTTGTTATACAGTATACGTGCCTACTTTGCTACATATACGTCTTTTATATATACGTTATCCATACGATGTTTATGCCTACGTTGTTATACATACGATGTTTATTCATACGTTGTTATTTGGATTGTTGGATTGTAGTTTATACAGGAGCTTATATCGCACGAATCGTTATTTAGATTACAGCATCGCTGCTACGTATAGATATTTTTACATATTGGAAACTTTGCCACAGTGGTCGAGCCATTGTCGAAACAAAGGCACTGCATGACTAGCCAGATCAAGAGTATCATTCCTGATGATAAAATGTAGAAGAAATTTGGTAGTACCTAACGATCAACATGTCACAACAATAGCCAACCTCTCCGTCTTAACATCGCAAACTGTATTGCATAACTTCTAATTGAAATAAAAATGTAGCATCCTGAAGCTTGAAAATTCCACCGCTGAACGAGCGACGAACGATAATTTATTCTTTTTACAGCATTTCTCTTCAACTTAAATTTTTGTTTGTTTGTTTGTCTGTCTGCTACAAATTTTATAATCGATATTTATCACACTTCTACCTCTCCAATCGATCTGAAAATTTGCACACTTGTGTAAAGTTGGAGACAAATCATGAATCAATTGACAGAATAAATAATAATTTTGAAATTTAAAAAATTATATTTTTTATATTAAAAAATTCAAAAAATTATTTTGTCTGCTACATAACTTATAATCGATATTTAACACACTTCTACCTGTCCAATCGATCTGAAATTTTACACACCTGCGTAAAGTCGGAGACAATGCATGTATCAATTGACAGAATAAATAATTTTGAAAAATGTAAAAAATTGTTAATTTTAAAAATAAAATAATAGAACTAATTTTTTAATATTTCATAAATCATAATAAAATTAGAAATTCATTGTACATATGTAACACCGGAAACACTGGATTCTTTAGAAGTGTTGTCATTTAAAAGTAATTTTTAAATGCATATTATTTAGTAAATAGACACTCGTCACGTGTTCACGGGAGGAACTGCATGTTTGTGCCTATGCACATCTGGCATTTGCATTGTTATTATAGATGTGCATGCCTCTTTTGTAAACATATTAATTAGACAGTAATTTTTCCATCGCTGGTTTCTTTAATTTCTATTCGACACGTTTGAAAAATGATTCACGTTTTAAAATTTAGCATCAAAGCCTCAATAATGAGACTCGTTGTGGTAAAAAATAATTGCTGAAATTCTCCGTATTGATTAATTTATTTTCGGCTCATAAATTGCTTCCAAAAACGCCCTCAATTAATTGAGATTAAAATCAAGTGCCTTGTTATTATCCTGCTTGTATCATGAAAAATGAATAGCTAATAAAAGATTTTTATTTATATGCGAGGATTTCTTGATCCAACTATTCAAATATTGCTTTAGAAAACTGTATTTTTTTATAAGTTTTCACATTTAGTGTAAGTCTTTTCAGCAGACTTCGTAAAATAATTTTCCAGTTTCTTGTGTGCAGAAGAAAGAGAAAAATTATGCACAATTATTCTAAATATTGAAGCATTCATGCTAATTTTATTCCAATATTTGCTAGTCGCCTCGGTTATTGGACCAGCATAGAAAAGCCTAGCCAAGTTGTTTATAAAATACTCATTTCTGTGTATATGTTCGCAGAATACATTCATAAATAAAATCTATGCATATTGATTGCTCAGCAGAAAAGAAAATTCGTTTTGATCATATCTTTTGATGAGCTGGTAGGAAATGCTGAGTGCGTGGTAATTTTTCAGTGAAAATGCTTTGCCATACCATTGCTCCTGTGAAGATCACCCACTCAATTTTTACTGTAATTCTGCAACTGAAGACTTTCTGTCCCCCTCATTTATTCCGTTTATCTTATAAATCTTCCGTAAATTAAAAGTTTACTTTATATTGCAGTTTTGTTGGATTTGATATATTTTTATGCAAAAATCCCTTGGTAGGAAATTTTATTAGCATTTATCGCCTCTCACTTGCCCGGTAACAGAGCCGATGTTTGCAATGAATTTCATTACACTGCTATTAACAGTTTCGTCACTATAACTATAGTTTTCTTTACTCCATTGCGCAAGGGTTTTCGTAATTAAAGGAACTGTATAAAATTTGAAACAGCGACATGTTTTTACTATCAAATATGAGATACGAAATAGACGCTGGAATGTCTTTCCTAAATTCTGGCAAGGAATCTTTCCAATACAGTTGATTCTTTAAAAATCCAAAGGTGCAATTCGGTGGAAGCTTTTCTTCTTATTTGTATTTTCAATGAGTCACTTGATAGAGTGACTCATTTTTGTTCGACTCATTGAAAAAAAACAATAAGAAGTTAGTTCATATAAAGCATGCTCTGGTCTTCAAACAAACTTGCGTATCTATAAAGGAAGAGTAAAGAGATCCACTAGAGTCTTGCCATAGTAAATTCTGTCCTAATCAAATGAAAGACTGCATGTGACCGAAGTTTGAATTGTTTCCATGCCATCAAAGCAGAGCTCGTTCTAGCGAAGCTTGACGAGACCTATTCAGTGTTTTATTCCCGCTATATTTTTAAGACTTGCGCATTGACTGACGACAGCACGTCCATTGTTATGATGATACAGATTAAATTTATTTGTAGTGTTCCCCGGAATAAGTACTTATATTATCAGTCGGCTTATATCGCAAGTTCACAAGGAATTTAAAAGCAAAGAAAACACCAAGCAAATTCACCATATCGATGTTGAAAACGTTTCGGAGTCCAGCTCCTTCATTAGTTCGAAAAACTAAAAATGAATAAAATTAAATTATTATAGTTCGAGTCCTGTTTTTTTTCGATATAATGTTAGGTCTTGTTTAGGTTTTATGTCTGTCTTAGATTTTTGACATAATAATAAGTTTTTATTCATTTTTAGTTTTTCGAACTGATGATGGAGCTGGACTCCGAAACGTTTTCAATATCGATATGGTGAATTTGCTTGGTGTTTTCTTTGCTTTTAAATTCCTTGTTTCCCGAAATGTTTTAGAGTTCGACGGGAAATGTCCATCGTTACCCTTTGAATGAAATTTATACCGCAATCAACGCGCAATAGATGCAATCTTCACTTCAGTGAACAATTTTCTTGTTGATATAATAATAAATATATTATTATGATATGAATATATGTTATAAAAATATATATATTTTCTCCAAAAATAATATTGCCAGTCCTCTTATAATAATATTATTATTATATACCAAAAATTATTATACGTAATTGGCAATCAGCAAAAAATTTTAATGTCATCAATACCATGCTTTGGAACACAAAATTATACAACTTAGTGTTACAATTTATCGTTAAAGCATGTAATATCTGCCGAAATGTTGCATTATGAGCTATCTGCTAACTGCTATCGTTTTGCGCTCAAAAATTTGAGGCTGACTTTTTTTCCGAAATTGTGATGCACTTTATTCTTGTGTTCATTCTGACCCAGTTTGGCAGGGTCTTCAAGTGTGTAAGTGTAGGAATGCTTTTCAAATAAATTTACCATGTACAAAATAATATTTATCAACATCAAAAATATTTATCACATTTCAGGAATAGAAATGGACGTTTTCGCTTATGATTTTTATTAGAAATGATGCTTTGGGCTGCACCTCAACCAGCAGAAATGCCCGGGGATTTGAAATGGATTTCGGAAGCAGACGTGAGTGTGATGAAATATTCAAAACGCGCAATAAATTTGAAGGTAGTTTCCTTTATATGATCATACCAGAAGATATACTGATAGTGGAAGTGTTGGAAGTTGTTTTATATGATAATACAATACAAAATACTGATAGTGGAAGTGTTGGAAGATGTTTTATATGATAATACTAAACAATATACTGATAGTGGAAGTGTTGGAAGTTGTTTATATGATAACATCATACAATATATCGACAGTAGAAGTATTGGTAGCTGTTCTGCACGTGAAGCCAGTATATTTATTTTTCTTTCGGAGCCGGTGATACATTTTTATACGGAAAAACATGACGTAATTTCTTCATAAAAATTTTTTCCTCCGGTTTCATGAAACGTGAAAGCATTGACTCAGAAATGTTCCAACTTGTTGAAAATCAAAGAAGTCTATTTAGTTATGATTGTAATAACGCATACATAAAAAATATGGTATTAGCGTTGATAAGGCCACATCATGACTCTTAACCACCCAGCCACCTTGCTAACTTCGAACAGAATTTTCACAACTGGTTGGGGGTTTCGAACCTCTACCTCCCTGTTCCAATTTTGACGTTTGTATCACATAAATTTCAAGGAAGATTCTTAGGTTTTGTGAATTATTTGAGGTAACCTCCATTTAGTTATACTTCAACTTCCCTGGGAATTTCAGCAATTTTTGCTGTCGCTCCACAAATAACCATAATATCGGTCATACTTTTCGATATTGAACCCTGTGGAGTATATTTACACAACAAATGTTTATTTTCGTAAGAAATATGTTTATTTATTTTATAGTAATAACTATAACAGGAGATTAGGAGGTTACTATAGCACACTGAGGATAAATGTTCAGGTCCAGGGGCCATACTTTCAAAATTCGCTAAGTGAACGTAAGTACTTACGCTCTATTTTCTTGTCTATGATTGGTGGATACTTTCAAAGCTCGCTAAGTGAACGTTAGTACTTACGCTCTATTTTCTTGTCTATGATTGGTGGATTTTGCTTGAAAGGCTGTCAATGATTGGCTGATGAACTTACGATCTTTTAACTTTTTTTGAAAGTATAGGCCCAGGTAATATCTCAATAAGACAAGTATCCTGGATACGCGCCCCAACAGCGCCTATATACAATATCCCGACACGATAAGTATCCAGGATACGTGCCCCAACAGCCCCTATATACAATATCCCGACACGATAAGTATCCTGGATACGAAAGTATCCTGGAAACGCGCTCCAACAGCTCCTATATATTTATGGTGCCAGGCTTTTAACACAAACAAACTTTGACAACTTTAACTGAACTGCTGCTGAAAATCTATAGCAGGGAGTTGGCTGTCACTAGCTGCATGCTCGCCAAGCTGAACACTGGTAGTACGCGAGGTGATGCCACTAGAATAATTATATAAATGTACCAATGCTGGTGCAAGCTCAAGTATCTTTATTCTTGATACTTCGTGGCTGATACCACACGTTTTATTGAATGTTTTATTTATGGGAGTGTGGAGAGTCCGCTCTATACGTTTATTAAAGGGAGTGTGGG